GGGGGGAAATCATTTTTCTCCACACACCCTATTATGCTTTTCAGTATGATTTGCAAGCTGCCTTGAGTTACAGGGAAAACTGGGATATCAATATTTGAATAAATATGTAGTTTGAGCAGGTAGATAAAATTTAAACAATGTCCTGTTTGTTCATTTTTTTGTACACCCCCTATTATGCTTTTCAGTATGATTTGCAAGCTGCCTTGAGTTACAGGGAAAACTGGGATATCAATATTTGAATAAATATGTAGTTTGAGCAGGTAGATAACATTTAAACAATGTCCTGTTTGTTAGGTTAGACATGGTTCTTACAGTGATTGTTCCACCTTGTTATACTTGACCTGTAATGCTGGTTGTCATATTTCACTTAGAAAGTAGATTGAAAGACTCCCTCCACCCAAGTGCTGGTATGTTCTCTCTCTCTCTCTCTTTTTATAATCTATTTATTAATTTTCAAAACAAAAAAAAGGAAATTATATACATAACCATAAACAGACTTCTCAACACATCACAATGATCATACAGACTGGTTAATTATACATTTCTACCATTCTACCAAGGATTTTATATAAATATAATTCTAACAGCTGATAACATTTTAAATTAAATATGTGCACTGTAATATAGTAATACAAGCAGGGAAACTGCAAGGACTTATGGAGGACATCTCATTTTACCCTCCCACACTATTTCCTCTTCCCCTGTCCCTTACCCCTTCCTCTTCCCCTTCCCTTTTTCCTGCTTCCTTTTTCTCCTTTCCACTCATCAGCCAACCTACCTGTATTTACCTCCTGTGTTTAACTTTCCCTCCTTTGCTCCCACTGGCAGCCTCTCCCTGAACTCTGCACAGTTCCAGCTGCTGGACTGGGTGCCAGTCTCATTGTGGGGTACTGAACCTGCAATGACTTTTGTGGGGTTCCTCACCTTCCCCACACTATTTCTTCTTTTCCTCCTCCTGGCAACCCCCATATCACCACCTTTCCATGTTTATTTTCTCTTTTCCACCCACTAACCTTTTATTTATCCATCATCTTCAGCTATATGTTTTGTTTACTTTATTTATATACTACCTTTCTCCGCAATGGAGACCTGTAGCAGCTTACAGCATTCCCCTCTCCTCCATTTGATCCTTACAACTCTGTGAAGTAGGTTAGTCTGAGAATGTGTGACTGGCTCAGGGTCACCCAGCAAGTTTTCCATGGCACAGTAGGTATTTGAACCTGTGTCTCCCAGATCCAACTCTGAAACTCTTATTGTTACACCCAGGGGTCATTTCTTGCGAGAGCGCATCAGAGCGGTGCTCCGGCAGTAAGGAGCCTAGGGGCGGGCACATGCAGCAAACCCTGCACCGCCTTCCCTGGCCTGCCTGCCAAAGCAGGCAGGCAGGGGAAGGCCTTTGAAAGAGCAGGGAAGCATTTAAATGCCTCCCCGTACCGTTCCTCACTCGCCTGCCTAAGTGGGTGGGTGGGGGAAGGCCTGCTGAGACCCCCTGCCTTCCCTGGCCTTTGAAGGGTGGGGATTGTGTCTCTCTCTCTGTCCCTCCGTTTCTCTCTCTGCCACTCTGTATGTGTGTGTGTGTGTCTGTTCGTGTGTTTCTCTCTCCCCTGTTCATGTCTCTCTCTGCTCCTCTGTTCCTCTATGTTTCTCTCTGCCCCTCCGTGTGTGTGTGTGTCTCTCTCTCTATTTGTGTGTGTGTGTCTCTCTGCCCCTCTGTGTGTGTGTCTCTCTCTCTGCTCCTCTGTCTCTCTGACTCTTTCTCTCTCTGCTCCTCTGTGTCTGTGTGTGTCTCTCTCTGCTTGTCTCTTTCTCTCTGCCCCTCTGTGTGTGTGTGTCTCTCTGCCCCTGTGTCTCTCTCTGTCTGTGTGTGTTACAAATACAAATACAATACCTTTATTGGCATAAAATATCAAATACACATGCAGCAGAGCCTCAAGATAGGCTGGAGGGGTATCACATTCCGAATTGCCTTAAGATGAGCCTCTCCTCCTAGTTACCTCATAAAAAAAATTTGCTACAGGTTCCAGAATTCTGTGTGTGTTTGTGTGTCTGTCTGTCCATCCCTCAGTCTGTGTGTTTCTCTCTGTGTCTCTCTGTCCCTCTGTTTCTCTGTGTCCCTCTTTGTGTGACTCTCTCTTTATTTGTTTTTTTCTCTCTGTCTTCCTATCAAGGTCAGTATTGTTTCAGGGGGTTTCAAGCTCATACCTTGATTCAAACTTTGTTGGTCTTAAAGGTGCCACTGGACTCAAACTTTGTTAGACAAGACAGGCAGACGGCATTATTTTCTCCTTTTGCCTTACCTTTTTGTGAAATATTTGGATGATGGTAAAATGCAGACCTTTTTGGAGTTAAGTGGCTTTCTGTGGCTGGGGCCATGTGCTTGTTGTCTCTGGATGAGGCTGAATGAGGGCAACATGACTTAAGGTTCCAGAGAGTGTAAAGTAAAGTGCACAACCCCAAGGGTTTTGTCAGGCCTTTTCTTACACAACAACAAAATTGTTGGTGGAAAGTGCCATCAAGTCGCAGCTGACCAATGGCGACCTCATAGTGATTTTTAAGGCCTGAAATGTTTAGAGGTGGTTTGCCATTGCCTTCCTCTGTGTCACAACCCTGGGCTTCCTTGGTGGTCTCCCATCCAAGTACTAACCAGGGCTGACCCTGCTTAGCTTCAGAGGGTCTGAGAAGATCGGGCTAGCCAGGGCCATCCAGGCCAGGGCAACAACAGAATCCTGGCACTTTAAGTGCCACTTAACTGGGATGATCACTGCATTTCAAAGGGGGTCAGGTTAACGATGTCTTCAATGGGTCCTTTAAAAAGAATATTGTCAAAGAGGTTCCAGAACTCTGTTCTGGCATGTTCCCCCAGAAAAAAAAGCCCTGGGAATTGTCTTGCTCACAGCAACAGGCAAAGCTTAGCTTGTATTCACTTGAAGAGGGCAACTTGGTATTTAATGTTATTATATGTGTCATGTGTGTAAGTCTGTTTTAGGCACACCTCTCTCTCAAGGGGTCAGGTTATTCATAAT